GCCGTCTCCCCTCCCCACCTTTACCAATGTCCTGTCTCTCTCCGCAGTCAGATCATTTCAGCTCCGACTCGGGCGCGATCAGGGAGGCCGGTGGGGCCTTCGGGAAAAAAGAGAAGGCTGAAGAGGACCGATACTTCCGGTGAGGCCCACGGGGTCGGGGGTCCAGCCCTAGATCTCTCGGAGCCTTCCAGGCCTCCTTAAGCTTCCAATCGCTACCCCCGCTCCCCCGTGCCAGGGGTCGCCCCATCCCCCAGCAGAACTCCCCGGTCGCGGAGCCCATCACACCCTCGCTCCCAGTGACTTGCTGAATAGTCCCAGGGCCCCAAGCCATTTCCACCTGCGCGTCTCCAGGACAATCAAACCACGGCCCAACTTGTCCAGAATCATCTACCATCCTCACCCGTGGAGTTTTTCCCGGGTCGTGCCAGACACCCCCAGATTCTTTGCATTGTCTGGATCCGACCGCCCAATTCTTGCAGACCCTCTGAACTTGACCCCGGTGGCCACCACCCAACACCCTTCTACGCCCTTTTCTCCTCCACACGCCTTAGCTTTGCTAGCCCCCAGTGGGTGGATCTCCAGGCTTTTCAGACCCTCTCGGCCCTTCCTAGACCTCCAAAGGTCTCCAGCTCGGCCAGAGTGAGTGGGTCATAGGAGCTGAGTGCTGGGTTGAAATTCCCTTCCTCACTTCCTGGAGACTTTTGCCAGGCTCCACCCAGGTTAGCTTTCTGTCACTTAAGAGTATGGAGTGGGCTGGGTCTCTTCACATTTTTACCAACCCTAAGTTATCGTTTACTGACTTCTTTGCACAGTGAGGAACAGCATAGAACTTATCTCATTTCTGCTTCTTTGGCCTATCTTTTCACTTCTGCCCTCTCTTCCTTGCTCTTAAGAATTATCACCGTGCCCCTGACGGGTATGACTCAATTGGTTGGGCGTCACCCGTGCACAGAGAGGCTGCTGGTTCCATTCCCGGTCAGGGCAAATGCTGGGGTTGTGGGCTGGATCCCCGGTAGGGGGCAGCGTGCAGAAGGCAGCCGATAGATGTTGTGCTATTACATCAGTGTTTTTCTTTTCTCCCTCCCCTCCCCTCTAAAAACCAATAAACTATTCTTTAAAAAAAAAAAAAAAAAATTATCACCATAGCACCTACCATACCAGAAAGCCAAAGTACAGCCCTTAGAGACCACATACTTAGGCTCCTATATTTTACAATTAAGGAAAACTGAGGGCCAAATGTGGCCAAACCAACATTTGAATCCTTTCTTTTTTTAATCCTCACCTAGGATATGTTTTTATGGATTTTTTTTTTTTTTTTTTTTTTTGAGAGAGAGAGAAAGAGAAAGAAATATCAATGTGAGAGAAACATTGATTGGTTGCCTCCTGTACACAACTGGGATTCGAACCCACTGCCTAGGTATGTGCCCTGACCTGGAATCAAACCTGAAACCTTTTGGTGCACAGGACGACACTCCAGGCAACTGAGCCACCTAACCAGGGCTGAATTGTTTCTTACTGAGACCTAAATTGGACTGCCACGTACTGCCCATGCAAGAGGCCCCTTCTTTTTCCCTCCCTTCTTTCTGGCCTTTACAGTGGGCCATGTATTTCTCTAGGCAAAGAAAGCCCTAGATAAATTAGGATTTAGATTGCAGATATTTGCCCTTTATACCCTTTTGTCTATTTCCCCCTCATTTCCCCAAAAAGAGATTCTGTTCTCTTGATTAGTCCTCTAATAAGGAATCGGGAACTTACATCACACATCTCTGGAGTGTTCTGCTCTAAAGAGGAATCTAAAAGGAATAGCTCATGAACGATGGAATTTCAGGCACCAGCACCAGGAAAATGGAATCATTCTGGTCATCTCCTAATGATGGGTACACCTTAAGATGGAGTATTCTTTCACTAGTGGGGCTTGAGGCGGTAGAAGACGATCAGCCAGATTCCCGTGGGATTGGGACTCCTTTGCCTTAGGTATTGCTGGTTATGCTGAGAGATCTCTTCGGGGTGGTGGATTAGGATTAAAGCCATTGTTTACTTGTAGAGAGCGGAGTAAAGAACAACTGGCAGCCTTGAAGAAACACCATGAAGATGAGATCATTCATCATAAAAAGGAGATTGAGCGTCTGCAGAAAGAAATTGAGCGGCACAAGCATACCATCAAGAAACTAAAAGATAGTGTTGAAGATTAAGTGCATGCAGTTCCCCATAGAATGGCTATATATTGCCCATTTCTATGAAGACATAGTTCTGGTAATTAATACCAATCTGTGCTGCCAACAGATTATAATAAATTGTGATCAGTGAACTGTGTTTAATGCCGTCTACCATCTGGAGAGGTATAGGGGGACACAGTACTGGACTGCTAAAATGAATCAGACAGGGTACCTGCAATAGGGAGCTTGAAGACAAAGCACAGCATGGTAAGTGCTATGCCACATGGAGGGAGTTGGGGGAGGCAGGTGTGACATAGGGGGTCTAATATTAGAGATTCAGAGAAAACTCCTTGAAGAATAAACCCCAATCCAAGGTCAAGAGCAGCCTGGAAAACAGATGAATAATTGCTTAAAAGATACAATTAAAGGAACCATCAGTCCATTTTTCATTTATAAAATGGATTAGAGAACTTTTCATGTGAACTAGTTATCGTAGTTCTAATTATCTTTGTGCAAATTGAGAGAACTGGAATTAGAAATTATGTATTGCCTACAGTTAGTAAGTTGGAGTTGAGATTTGGCATGTAGGTTTTTTAACTCAATCCAAGTCTATTAATAGCAGAGAATCAGAATTAAATCTTAGGTTATATTTTGCTCCACCAAGTGTGCTCTTGATTCAAATTAGACATCAACAAACTAGTAGTGTGACTCCTCTAGGCCAAAAAAAAAAAAAAATTGAGGTGATTTTTGGGGCCATTAGCAAGACATTTTCAATTCAAGGGTTCAACAGATCATTTGCCCCAGAATTACAATGAATTATTTGTTGCAAGACCCTATTACTTGTGTACACAAAAGCCTTCAGGGCCATTGAATGATAAAACCTTGGACAAGTCATTGACTGCCCTTGCAGACAAGACACTAGATGGCTGTTTCCAAAACACTTGTCCATGTGCTGCTGATGGAAAGTTTGTAGATAGTCCTGAGGTGGAAGTGCTGAGATTCAAGTGGCCAGCAACAAAATGACCTCAGAGATGAAATGCAAAGCAATGATCGTGCCAAGGTCACATGCCTTTTTTTTTTTTCTTTACAACAGTACAAAATTTGAAAACTTACAAATTAGTCAAGGAACAAGTAACAAACATCTTTCATTTTGCTTATTTTTTTTAATCTTCACCCGAGGATATGCTTTTACTGATTTTAGAGAAAGGGAAAGGGAGAAAGAGACACATCAATGTATGAAAGAAACCAATGGGTTGCCTCCCATATGCTCCCCCACTGGGGATCGAACCCAAAACCTAGGCATGTGCCCCAACCAGGAATCGAACAGCCAATCTTGGTGCACAGGACGATGCTCCAACCAAGTCACACCAGCCAGGGCTTGTTTTGCATTTTTTTGACTAAAATAAAAAAAGCATACAAAATCCCCTAAGTTTGTAGATGATGGTGTTTTTGTGACTACTTATAATCAATTGCCTTATTAGGAGTGATATTCCTGCGTTGATTTTTTATTAGGGGGTATACCATCTACTCAACATTTTATTTTTAATAAAAGTCAATTGAGTAAAGCAATCAAAAGTTGAAAGTTTAAAATGAAGATGAAGAATCATAAGCTTGAATTCTTAAAAGGGTAAAATGAATAATTTTTGGAGCAGCCTAATTTAAGACGACCAAATGTCCATGATCCAGCAGCATCTTATCTGGAAACTTGTTAGAAATGGAATTCTCAGGCCCCATCACAGACCTGCTGAAACAGGGTGGGACCCTGCAATCTGTTTTAACAAACCCCCCAGGTGATTCTGATGTGCACTAAAGTTTGAGGACCACTGTACTACAAGTACAATAGTTTCTCGTGAAATTTGCTGGACTTCTTGGGCATAGAACACTTTTGTAAAGGCATTTTATTAAGTATAATAATGATATATATTTAATACAGTTTTTTTTTAACTGAATTTATTAGGGTGACATTGGTTAATAAAATTACATAGGTTTCAGGTGTACAATTCCACAATATATCATCTGTATATTATATTGTATAATTACCACCCCAAGTCAAGTCTCCCGTCACCATAATATACTTCTTAATACGAATGCTATTTGAGGATTTAAAAATTAAAGTACGCCTGACTGGCATGGCTCAGCGGTCCGATTCCTGGGTTTCACGCTTGAAACCCAGTAGGGGGTGTGCAGGAGGCAGCTGATCAGTCCTGCTGATCAATGACTCTCATCATTGATGTTTCTATCTCTCCCTCTCCCTTCCTCTCTCTTTTTTTAAGTATGTTAAGAATTATTCTTGTACAAAACATGAACATTTTAATTTTTAAAAAATTGATTTTGGAGAGAAACATTAATTTGTTCTACTTATTTATGCATTCGTTGTTTGATTCTTGTATGTGCCTTGACAAGGGATCAAACCTGCAACCTTGCAGTATCAGAACAACACTAACCAACTGAGCTACCCTGGCCAGAGTTAACATTAACATTTTAGAACATAGCCTTCTGCAGAATACAATTTGGAAAAATGCTGCACTGGTTTATTGCATTAGTTTAAATTCATAAGGAAGAGAAAAAGTAATTTATTAGAACAGGACCAATTATTGTTTCAGAATCTCAAGAAGATTTGAACAAACAAAACTTGGAAAAGGCAGGGACCAGAGAACTCTGAGCAGACTGTCTAAACAGCTTCCTAACCACCTGTGTCAGAATCATTGGGGCCATTTGTTTAAAAAAGATTTCAATGGAATTTCACACCTTGAAGTTACTTAATTGCACAACAATTTATATTTATGGGGCACTTTACAATTATTTTGCTCATTAAATCTCATGATATTTCTGGCAAATATGTCCGTATCATTAGTTTAATTTTATAACCAAAGTAACTAAAGCAGGGAACGGTGAAGGAACTTTTTCAAGGTCGCACAGCCAGGCTTGTGCTGAGCAAGGACTTTACTTCAGAACTCCTGGTTCCACAATCTCGAGTTGCAGTCCTAGTGTAGTGGGTCAGCTGCCTATTAGCTCCCTCCTCAATGTGAGATAGGTCAGGGGGCTTGCCTGGACATCTGGAGGTGGGTGGTAAAGGCGGAGGTTCCTGGCAGTAAATGTAGAAGAAATGCCAGTAGTTGGCATTGCATTAGATTTCGGCTGTGACATGTATCCTATCAGCATGTCGGTGCACGCTTATATGGTACAAACACGTTTGCAGTAGAGCTGGGGTTGAGAGTTTCACATCAGTAAATACAGAGGTATAATTCTCAGCCCAGGCTTCGCACTGAAATACCTGGGGAGCTTTGAAATTAAGCCGATGCCTCGGGACAGATTAAATCCAAATCTCCAAGATTGGGGCCTGGGCATGACTCTTTTCAAAAAACTCCCTAGGTTTTTCCAATATGTGGCTGGAGTTGAGAACCACTGGTGTAAAGGATCCTTCCAGATCTGCTGCATAAGGTATGAGCCCCAGGTTGTTCACTGCATAAGGACACCAAATTGAAGGGGCCAGGGAGGACTGAAATTCAGCCCACACTGCTCACCAAGCAGTGTACTCTAGGGTGATACTTGTTAAGGAAAAGAGTCACCTTTTCTCGTCTGATTTCCACAAAAAGGACTCATTCCACTCTTCTTGAATATGCATTGCTTGCTGCATAGCCTATGTATGCCATTTTCAGATTTTTAAAAATGTGTACATATTAAAAAATGAAGCCCTCACCAGGTAGTTCAGTTGGTTAGAGCAATGTCCAGATATGCCAAGGTTGTGGGTTCGATCCCTGGTCAGGGCACATACAAGAATCAACCAATGAATGCATAAGTAAGTGGAACAACAAATCAGTGTTTCTCTTTCTCTCCCCCTTCTTTCTCTCCCCTCTTCTCCTCTAAAAATCAATAAAATATAAGTAAACAAAAATTACATTTAGCATCTACTATATGCTGGGCACTTGATACATACTGAGAATACAACTGCACAATAATCAAAGCTCCTGTCCTGTGGAACCCACAGCCCACTGGGAAGGACAAGTGGCTAAACAGCAATGGGGGAAGTACTCTGATGGTGGTGAGTGCAGAGTGCTTGGGGAGATACTGGACAGGGCTTACAGGAACCTCACTGTGGAAAGGTATAACTGTGGCCAGGTAAAAGGGAGAGGTGGTATTCAAGGCTGGTGACCGCATCTGAAGAAGCATGGGTTATTGGGGAATTAACAGTAGTTCAGCCTGTTCATCTGGAGCGTGGAGGGGGATGATGGAGGAGGTGGTGTGGTTGGAGGTCCTACTAACCTTCCAGGGGCTGGGTTGGCCACTTTTAAGCATAAACACTGTTCCTCTCCTCAGTCCTTTCTCCCTCCTTTTTTTCCAACCTCCCTCCCGCCCTCCTTTCCCTATTTTTAGAGCAGAAAACACCTAAACCACTTGCACCCTACTTTCAAACACTGGAAAGGAACAAAAGGCTTAGGAGCAGGCAGAGGAACAAAGACGCATGGGAACACACATGCCACTGCTTCACTTGGTGCCACCTGGCACAACATCACAATTAGCAGATTCCAGATTCCTCCTTGTGCTTTGAGGTAAAATTCACATAACATAAAATTGTTAACCATTTAAAGTGTGAAATTCAGTGGCATTTTGTATATTCAAAATGTTGTGCAAACATCACCTCTAGCAGTTCGAGATATTTTTATCACCCCCCAAATTCCATACCCATTAAGCAGTCACTCTCCGTTCCCCCTTCCACCCAACTACTCGCCTGCTTTCTCTCTCTATAGACCTTCCTATTCTGAATATTTCATATAAATGGAATCATTTAATACATGACCTTTTGTTTCTAGCTTCTTTCACCCAGTGTGATGTTTTCAGAGTTTATCCACGTAGCACGTTTTAATACTTCATTCCTTGTTTATGGCAGGCTAATGTTCTACTATATGGATATACAACTTTTGGTTATCTATTCAGTAGTTGATGGACATTTGGCTTGTTTCCACCTTTTGGCTATTGTGAATAGTGCTGCTAAAAAACATTCATGTACAAGTATTTGTTTAGACATCTGTTTTCAATTCTTTTGGATACATGCCTAGGAGTGGAATTGCTGAGTCATATGGTAATTCTATGTTTAACTTCTTAACAAACTGCCAAACATTTTTCACAGCAGCTGCAGCATTTTGCATTCCCATCCGC